AATTAAAAGAGAAAGACAATCGTTAACTTAGAATGCATTACATTTTCAAATCAAAATGATCCTCGTCAAATACCATGTCCCATCAGAATATAGGGGGTCATGGCTCTCCACAGACTCCTTTTTTCTTTTCAGTTATGCAAATTGCCAGGTCTTGTAAAAGAAAGAGTGCTTTCTGTTTCTTTCTCTATGGTTTTGAATTCAGAGTTGTCCTTTTTCTATCATCCAAAGTTAGAGAGAGAGGCTTTTTTATTGTACTATTTAAACCATAGGTGGGAGAGGGTGGAGAAAAAGGGATTCATGCTTTTTCCAAGAGCTTAGTGCAAAAATGAGTGCAACAAGTGAATTCAGAATTTGGTTCACAAATTCCATTTTCCAGGCTGATAATCACTGCTAAAATGATACTAAATTAAAAAAAAGTATAAAAAGGAGTTGCTGAAAAGTTCTGACACAAATGTCAGAATTTGACCAAACAATCAATATTTTTTAAATCACTTCTAGGTTAGGCCAATAACTTTTCAGTGTAACATGTGTATGTGCAGATGTATTTGTTTAAAAATTGCTATATTAAATATTGAGTGTTTGTCATTATAGACAGTGTGCACATAGAAACCAACACTGCATGTTGATTGTCAGTTTCATAATTCAAGTGATCTTCATACCACAAATGCAAATCACTTGAGAATTCACCATGTAGTGTTGATTTCTATGACCACATACAAATACAAACACATTTTTATATATATATATATATATATATATATATATATATATCTCAAAGGCAGGATGTGTGTGTGTGTGTGTGTGTGTGTGTGTGTGTAACGAATGCACCAACTCCCATCGATAGTGGAGATAATCGATTTTTTCATGCTTCTACGGCAGTTTTCATGTAGTTTGCAGCAATTTTCTACTTGCCAGCATGAGAGCCAACAGCTGACTGACATGAATGTTAACTAGCATGCAAAAGAAAAAAAATTCGATAACTGCATTCGTCACAAGTGGGAAAAATTTAAATCTGCATGGCACTTTACTCCAATTGGCTCATTCACTTGCTTAAACTCAACGTTATTCTGATTCCACAGAACTGGGTTGGTTGTGAAAATGTATTTGTTGTTAACATTCTTTTTTCATTCAGTTTTTCCAGTTACTAGTCCTTTTTTAAAGCTGATCGTTTTGTGTTCGTTTTGTTTAGTTCTTTTTTCATTTAATGTTTAGTATAGAGCTTAGAAAAAATTCACAGTGTGAGAAGTAAGGCATGTAGCAACATCAGCACGGCAAAGGGCACTCCTTTAAAGGCAAGGAAGGGCAAAAATATTTTAAGTCAAGTGATAGCGATTGCTGTATGAGTTGTATGATTTTTGAATCAAGCATGGGCAACGCCGGGCCATGCTGCTAGTATATATATATATATATATATATATAAAAAATTATTTCAAACATTATTTTTAATGGGTGCCTGAATTTGAGTAGAATGTACAATTTTTAAAAAGTGGTTATTTTGTCTACTGACCTATACATTTGAGAAAACTTAGTAAAGAAAATGTTCCTCCTGACAAGATTCTCCTGTGTCCTCTTACAGTTGTTTCTTCTATGTAGGAGGTTGCAGGTTCAAATTCTACCAGAAAGAACATTTTCTTTAAGTTTTCTCAAATGCTCAGTCCGGTAGATGAAATAAGCACCATTTGAAAGAAAAAAAAAAAAAAAAAAATAAAAAAAAAATGGAACATTCACCTCAAATACAGTTAGCCACTAAAAATAATGTTTGAAGTAATAATAATAAATAACATATTATAAATGACAGACAACAATTATTCTTTAAGGCAAATACTATTAAAAAGTGAGACATTTTGTGTCAATTAATTTTAATGATCAACTTTTCAAAATTATGAATAATCCTTCTCAGACAAGGAAATTTCATCAGAAATTGTTTGAAGTTCATTTCTGAAGAAAATTACAAGAAATAAGGTCCGAGCTTTCAACTTTCTTAAGCCATCATCAGAGTATAGGTAGTGAAATGTATTAAAGAGGGATTGTTGCTGAAAGTACTTGAACAAAACAACAGAACAAACATGGACTTAAGACAGTTTATCCACAATTTTGATCCCAATATACAATATCTTGTTTGAAAATTGGCAAAGTACAATTTAAAATTAAACAGACAGACCTTGTCCATTGAATTTAATCAAACTTGCTTGGCTATATATTAGAGTGTATGCGTTTTTGCCAAAGCAAGAGTGTTTTTAATAATATTCTTAGGATTACAATTATTGCCGCTAATACTACTTACTACTAAATAACTGATAAAATGAGGAAGTTTGAAACTTAAGGCAATATTAGTGTAATTCAATAGAATAATGAAAAGCTAATGTTGGTCAAATGAGGGCTGGATTACAACAGAAAGGAAGTCAGTTGTAATGTTTCTTGACAAAACAATCACAAATCTCCTTACGATTACCTAATAAACAAAAGAGAAGTGAGACTTTGCCAGCAAAACTTTTAAGCTGCTCAAAGGATAATAGCTTTATTAATGGAACAGTAGCAGCTGCTATAACAAATAATACGTTTGAGATAATGTTTATAAATAAAGTAATTTCCTCTTACTTAATCCTATGTATGTAATGTGCACTTTTAACATCAATGCATACAAAATCAATTTTATAAACTAAGAGAGTTTTGTTAAGCTTAAGTAGAAAAAACATATTTTTCCAGTTTTTCTTTCTCTTTAATCAGCTGTTCTGCACTAAGGAATAAACTTATCATACATTCCTTAATTTCTGTTGTAATGTAAGCAAAGAATCTGTTGAGATGGGAGGAAACACCTAACCAATTATTCCCTCAGCAACTAGGGAAAGAGGGTAAGGAGACAGGAAGTAACAAAAATGCACACAAGAGTGATTTCACAAAACACTGTGTCTTGCCAACTGCTGGCTTTACCCTTATTTTTATTGGCATGAGACATCATGACTCGGATGTTGACCAGATGCAGAGAGGCTCATATCTCGACATGCCAAACTGTCCCACTGCTAATAGGAAACTGGTATTGACAAACATATCTGCACGCAATCTGAGGTTTCTTTTGTGCCTGTACTGACATGTGTTTGCCACAATTTCTCAAGTATTTAATTTTAATAGTTGTAAAAAATAACACTCAAAATGAATAAATATCAATTTGAAATCAGGTAGCATCTACAATTAAAATGTTGCCCACATTTCAAAGCTTGGTGCTACTAAGCTTTGAATTTACTTTCTTATCATTAATAGCCCAATTCATTTTTAAGAATAGTGAGGCTCTTTGCCTTGAATTTATATACAAACTATCACTAAAGATGCTAGAAAAGTGGTCAGTACTTTATAACTCTCCTCCCATCATGTTCTATCTTTACAAGAGTTAGATCAGATCAAAAATGTTGTTGTTGTTGTTGCCATAACTGGACTGGAACTGCACAATCCTCACTATCCAGCATTGACAGAATTCAAATTTACATAGTTTTGTGAGTTATGGATTATTTTCCACTTCGAAATGTTAGTGAAAATCAGCAATTGTTATACTAAATAAAAAGGATTATATCTATGGTAGCAGTTAAAGTAAAAGCATTGATATTCTAATACTTTGATTTCTGATTGTGGGTGTGCTTTTTACCATAACACAGCAAAAACGGCACATCAAAGCAAGGTTTTTGCTAGGGTAATAATATTAGAATGCTCTAAATTGAAGAATAAATCACTTTCCAATCTAATTTGCAACTGAATAATAAATGTGGGTCAGCATTCGATAATAATGATCCAATTTCTGTATATCTGTTTTTGTTACAAAATATCATGTCAACATTGAAAAAAGGAAAAAAAAAATTACCAATTGTTCTAAAAGAAACCCTTAAAAACAAAATACCTCTGAGAAATTTTTTTTTTTTTTTTTTTTTTTACAAAATAAACATTAACAGCTATCATTATTTCATTCAACAATTAGTGATCTTTACATTTCTTCCTCCATCATGGACATTTCTAATTACAAAAAATCCTTTTTAAAATATAAGCAAATATGTTAATCATTTAGCACTAAACTCTTACTGATTAGAGATTGGTAGTACAAATAAAGCTAACTTTAAATTTTAAATGTAGTTCGAGTTTGGTTATTTACAGTGTAATCTTCTCTTATTTATTTGCAAATAAATGTAAAAATATATTGTTTCCTATTTTTATATAAAAGTATTTTTTTTTACAAAATAAATGCATTATTGAATAGGTCTCATTTTGTGCATCTTCTCATTTGCCATCATGAATGTTTACACACTTTTTTAAAAACAATTTGTTAAAAAATCATTTAACACTAAACTCATTCTGATTTGTAGTACAAGTAAAAACTTTAAATTTTATAGGTAGTTTAGTATAAATTTTAATAAAAGCTTTCTTGACCAGTATGATAAACACCTTTTGTCTTTTGTTTTTAATCATTTCACCCCAAGCAAGGCAATAAAGCCTCTAAGATGCAACGGGGTTACTGAACATGAAAGAATAAAAGAAAAACATGAAGGAGAGAGAACAATAAAAGGAGAGGAATTAAGAGAATAGAAGATAACATTTGACATTGCATTTAAATTTTTGAAGATCCAAGTTGACTGGAAAGCAAGAAGCTGGAAGAGAGTTCCACAAGCGAAAAGTGCAAGAGAATAAACTGTTAGCATAGAACTTAGTTACATTTGCCTATTTCAACTGTAAAATTATGAGACCTAGCTGCCAATCTAGTACTGTGTTTAAGTTTGTAAAGTCAAGGTACCAAAGAGGAAAGCTCATCAGAACAATTACCATGAAGATATTTATGGAAAAAGTAGTAGGAAGCTATGTTACAGCAGTGAATGGAAAACAAAAGATTCAGTATAAACAAATATTTTATCAATTTCAAAATGAAATGAACACATTAATTTAAAATATCTTTTTCACACAGGTACATCATCAATGTATTTCAGCATTTACATTATTTGCCTTATTAGTTGGCTCATGTACCTTTACTTTTTATTACGACTTATGCAAATTCCTGAGTGACATTTATTGTACAAAGGAGTGATGGAAAGTTCCCAACTAAAAAGAAGAAAAGAAAAAAAGAAGAAAAGAAAAAAAGAAGAAAAGAAAAAAAGAAGAAAAGAAAAAAGAAGAAAAGAAAAAAGAAGAAAAGAAAAAAGAAGAAAAGAAAAAAAGAAGAAAAGAAAAAAGAAGAAAAGAAAAAAGAAGAAAAGAAAAAGAAGAAAAAAAAAAAAGAAGAAAAGAAAAAAGAAGAAAAGAAAAAAGAAGAAAAGAAAAAAGAAGAAAAGAAAAAAAGAAGAAAGGAAAAAAAGAAGAAAGGAAAAAAAGAAGAAAGGAAAAAAAGAAGAAAGGAAAAAAAGAAGAAAGGAAAAAAAGAAGAAAGGAAAAAAAGAAGAAAAGAAGAAAAGAAGAAAAGAAAAAAAGAAGAAAAGAAAAAAAGAAAAAAAGAAAAGAAAAGAAAAAAGAAAAGAAAAAAAGAAGAAAAGAAAAGAAAAAAAGAAAAGAAAAAAAAAAAAAAAAAGAAAAGAAAAAAAAGAAAAGAAAAAAAGAAGAAAAGAAAAAAAGAAGAAAAGAAAAAAAGAAGAAAAGAAAAAAAAGAAAAGAAAAAAAGAAAAATGTAGAAAAAGAGAAAAACAATGAGAAAAAAGAGAAAATAACAAAAAATGACAAGAAAAAGATAAAAAATGACAAAAAAAGAAAAAATAATGAAAAAATGAAAGAAGAAAATGAAAAAAGAAAGAAGAAAATGAAAAAGACATCTTTGATGTTTGATTAAAATACTTTGGGAAGTGGGTCAAACTAAGAATTATTCTGCACCTCTTCATAGTATCTCTTAAATAAACAAGTGTCATTTTAGAGAAGAATTAACTTTCTAATCTGTTTTTGCTCTGTTAGTGATTGACTAATATTATTTACAGAACTTATCCTCAAGTCAATTAAATTTTCCATTTCTACCTATAAACAATCTAATTAAATTTGTTAAACAGTGTATATATTATTTTATTCATTATAATAATGGCTAGTTGCTTGTTTTTAAGTTTGTCTGTCTGCCCAGGGTCACTAATCCCTGTTAAAGATGCCTGTTTTGTCAACACCCAGATAGCCCACCTGTGGTTCATACTGCAACTATGCTGAGCAGACTTTATTTACAGTTTCTATGAGAGAGTGCATATTCTGGCATGATTACTAGTTGAACAAGGCTGGCACTCAACACTCGGTCACGATGACTTATGACTCTTCTAGCATAATCATCAATGTCTTCCAAACAGGTTAGTCTATCATATTTTCCTCACAAAGCTTGGGTTAACCAGTGGTATGGTTTTCAAGCTCTCAACAGGGCAGCATGATGACAGGCTGATATTATTAAGTCACCTCCTTAACAAATCAAACTTGGGTCTCATGGTTAGAATGGTAACCTTTTAACCACTTAGTCACATGCCCATTATTTTTTTTGTTATTAGTTATACTTTGCACTAGAAGACGCAAGGTAGAAACAGTGAATATCACTTTCCTTTTTAGTTTAATAGGAGTAGATAAGTTCACCTATCATCCGATTCACTCTCCTCTCTGGTTTTTTGAACAGGAGTAGAGGTTTATCCATTGTTTCTTGTTCAGGATTGGGTTCCCAGTTCCTTCTAAAGTCTTCTTTCTCTTTCACTTCCAGTGCACCCCTTGCATCTTAGGGGTGTTATAACCTTGCTTGGGGTGATTTGATTAAAAAAAAAAAAAATGTTGGCATGTATAAAGATGTAAAAGTGTTAATAATGACAGGGAAAAGCTCTAAAGAAAAAATATTTTAAATTCTTACCATTTCCAGTTCATCATCAAAATCTTCATGTTCTAATTTCATACTCAACTTCTTAATTTTGTCTTTCAACTTCTTTGCTTCTTTTCCTTTGAAAAGGAATGAAATATTTTAAATAAAAAAAACAAAAACTTTTATGCATAAAATTGGGGGTATTTATTTTTAAAACAGCAATGAATCTAAACTGAATTAATTAAAATATGCGTAATCTACATTCAACCAATATTTTTTTTAAGTAAAATTCAAAATAAATGTATAATTTTAAGCCATTTCATTATTTTGCATTAATGGATTATAAGTAAAGTAGAATCTGATACTAAATCGCAATACCAGATCTTTTATTCACCTATAATAGGAGACTAAAATATATTCAGAAACTTATAATTAATACCTGTTTTTATTTTAATTTTTTATAATCAATACCAGACTTTATAGTGGAGCATTAATGGATTAACATAAAAAAAAAATTCAATCTATCTAAAAGACTAGACTTAAGCAAAGATGAAATCCAGGTATTTAAATTGTATGGACTTTTGAATTCTTTGTTATTTTTTAGTTACAAAATTTTGGTAGATCTATTCTACAGTCCTCACAATCCACATGGAAAAGGATCTCTTTTCAACACACAAAAAAAAAAAAATTCCATACTCACGTGTACACAGGTTATTACCTGTATACACATGTGTTTCCATGTTAATACATGGATTGCACTCCACCCCCCACTGAACAAAAATCAACAGAATGAATAAACTTCAACAACTCTTGAAAGGATAATTGCTTTTAAACATAAACAAGATAAAACATTTCAGTTTTCTCATTTCCCTTTTTAAAAAAAAGGGAAAATATTTTCAAATTGACTAACACCTAAGTTAAAATATTTTACATTTTTTAAATGTGAATGCATTAAGCAAGAAAAATTGTGGAGTGATTAGCCACAATTAAATTCTCAAATGGAATTGACAAATTTCTCAAACAATAAGAAAAAGAACAAGTCAAAATAATATAAAGCAAACAATATATATGCAAGTCAAAACTATGTAAAGCAACAGAAATAAGGCATAATTTCACAAAGTAATAATTGTGTTCACATACAAAAGGTGATTATTGTGTTCTGACTTCACAATGAGAAAGAAGAAAAATATGTAGATGAGACTAAAAATTGGTTCATTTTTATTGGTTAGGAAGAAATCCCAGCATGCATCTGTAGGATTTGTTTATGAATTTGGAGAGGAGGATTTTCTTAAAAGTCATTCCTATGAACCAATAAAAGTTCTTATTTACACACTATTATCTTCATCTTTGTTACTATCACAACAAAGATAATAATAATAGAGTGTAAATAATGATAACTCTTCATCTCATAAATTCAGAAAGAAACAAGAAAAATTCATACAGAGTTTTTATCTTGAAATAAAAATATGGATAATACCAGATTTGATGACCTATAAGACACCTCCTTCCCATACTTTTTTTTATTTAATATTGCATTATTAGGAAGTTAGTTCAATTACTGGGAGATTACAGTGCCGAGGTAAACATTAGCCTACTCAACTTCTCAAAAAAAAAAAAAAATAAAATAAAAAATAAAAAAATAAAATAAAATCTCACCCAGCATTCAGATGAAAGCTGGGTGAGATTTTTTTTTTTTTAATCAAGTTTTGGGGAAAGAAATGTGATGCAGGGGGCATCTTTTACATCAAATGAAGTAATTTGGATCATTTGTCAATATGCTTTCTTTAATCCCATGAGAGGAAATTAGTGATGAGACTAAATTGTAAAGACAATTGTTATGATCTCAAAGGTTAAATGAACAGACTTCAATGTTTTGACACAAGAGAAAGAAAAGGCAGAATAAAAACAATGTTACAAAAAAGGCAGCTTCAAAAAATCAGAGAATAATATTGGCTAAGAAAAGCAGAAAAGAAAGATTACTTCTGTCAGTCAATTATGTGCCATGCATGATACACGCTTAGGCAATCATGTATCTTTCAATACATAACTGACAAGGCAGATTTTTTTCCTGCAGCAGGTTGCCATTTCTTTCTGCGGTAGACCAGTTGGCATCTAAGGCTATAGAAACCACTATTTACCCATAGCTGTGGGGAGAATAAAAGGATTCACACCTTTCCTAAGGTGATTAGCACATAAATGAATGTAATGAATACTACTTTCATCATCATTTTTTAAGATTTTTTTTTTTTTTTTTTTTACAAATTATATTACGGATGAATCCAAAAGACCAAAATATCATGTTTAGCAATATGATGCAAATTGGATTTACAACTTGCACAAATCCTCTGCTTACAAGCTACTTCAGCATTAAGAGAAAATGGGCAGCAGAATATTTGACCCAAAACTGATCCGAGCTTGTCAGATCAACACCAAGCCTGTCCGTAATGGAATAGGTGAAGAAGGCAGAGCTTGTTCAGTGGATGTGCAGTGTAAAGTAACCCAAGCATATCATCCTTCCGAGTTTGGCAGGGTGTACTGGAATTGATGCTTGTGTTTGTATTGATGCATACTACATTTGTGACATGCACAGATTACTTGCTTACACAATATCAGAGTCCAATTGTACAAATCAAAATTCAGAAATATTGGATGATTTTGTTCGTGAATCATGCCCAAATCATTAAAGCATCATCCATGACTGATGGGCTCCCAAGGAAACAAGATACAAATTCAGGTCACTTCTTTATTTTTTATCCATTTTGCTTAACAGTTACAGAATGTAAGATGACAAATGCATTATAATGAGAGCAACAAAAATAAGATGAAAGATAAACTAGCCAGAAATTAATAATGACAATGATTCATCTAAGAAATTAAGACAAGATTATTTTTCCTTATTACAAAAATGTGCTGACAAGTTCTGAACAAATTTTACATTTTTAGAGGGAAAGGCTTTTTGTTGGGCTGAGAATTTTTTTACCACCCCCTAATATTACTAGCAACAAAAATAAATTAAAAAGATGAACCAGATTGAAATTAATGATAATGAATAGGCTTTATACTAGAAATTTGGTCAACTTATTTCTGAAACAAAAATAAGAAAAAAACTAATTCATTTTAAATGAATAAAAAACGTGCTGTAATAGTTCCAAGGGAGATGAGCAAAGCTATGACTACAAGAATAATAAGATTTTATTATACACCGAAAAATATTAATTTTAAATTATGTAAAAGAAAAAAAAAGAAAGAAAGAAAAAAAAAGAATTGTTTTCTATATTCAGTAATTGTGGACAAAAGCTATCTACTGATCCAATATGGATTTCTATTCAAAAGAAAAATCTTTATTTTCATCCATTTTCCTACTTTATGTGAATTGGGATTTTTTTTTTGTCTTGTGAAAAAAAAAAGTGTAAAACTTGTTTGGTGAAAAAGAAATGGAGACTGTTTATTTCATGTTCATTGTAACATATCAATCCTATGTTTCTCAATGACTATTCATTGAATAAAAAGTTAATTGCTGACAATATTCTGCAGTTGAATTATTTTTAATTATTTTTCATAAACTAAAATGTATAAAACAAAGTGTACCTTGGAAAAAGATTGGTAGCTAATAGGAAGAAGAAAAAGATGAAGAAAAAAAAGGCACATCAATCTTTGTTAGGTCATTTCATGCCTAATAAGATTTGATTAAGCATCATGGTTTGTGTATTAAATTTAATTTGTAAATAATACTTAAAGTTAATGATTTTGGTATGAAGTTCAGTTGGAAATTTTATTTTGTTCATTTATTTATCTGTCAATATTAGTTATTGCTTAAATTTTTGAATATATCTTGTTTTCCTTAAGAAATTTAATTATTTTATTTGTATCAATTCATATTATTTGCCTGATAATACATTTCATACTCCAGACTTAAATCCACAGATTTTATAAGTATGTGTTCCACTGTATCATTCATTACATGTATAGTACATAGGTGGATCTTCCTTTTTTAGTACATAGCCGTGGGTAATAAAGGTGTGGCTGAGTCTGAGTTGAGCTAGTACTGATTACTTTTTCTTATTTTTCTATAACCAGTTTGCCATTCTTTGATGTCTGGTTGGATTATATAGTTTATTATTTATGTGCATGTTCCATTCTTTTTGCCATTTGTCCCTGATAAATTTTCTGATAATTGGTCAGAGATTGGCATGCAGTATTTTTGTTTGAAGGGTTCTTCTTTAATACATTTCTTGCTTCTTTGTCGACATTCTTATTACCATGAATGTTAGTATGGCCAGGTATTCAACATAAAGTTATACTTTTTTTTGTGTATTGGATTTTATTTAGTACTTTAGTGGTGATCAGATTTATAGTTATTTTAATTTTTTTTATTGCCATATGTGATGAGAAAATAATCAATTTTTTTTATCTTCCAGACAGTTTTTATTTTGGAGTTATTTAGTTTTGCCACAAAGCTTTTCCAGGTTGATCTTTTGGCTTTTTTTACTCTTCACCTTGCTATGGCCCGGCTATTTTTATATTGGTTTAGGTTTTCTTTTGTTGGATATATTTGGAATTTTTCAGAGCTTTGTATCGGGTTTTAACTGTTTCTTTACATTTTTCATTAAACCAGGGTTTATTTGGTTTGGCTGTCAAACTGTATTTTGGTATGCTTTCTTCTGCAATTTCTAGTAGTGTTCTCGTGAAGTAATTAATGTGATCCTCTTGACTGGTATTCTATGTTTGAGTCTGGAGTAAGTCTGGCAAGGCAGAGTTTTCTCTATTTGCTGCAGTTGGCTTTGTGTATGTTCAACCCTGGTGCTTTGTCTTCAGAATTAAAAGATACTTGTTCTAATATTATTGGAAAATGGTCACTGCCACAAGTATCCTTGTAAATTTGCCAATTGTATTCTAGTGCCAGGAATGGGTCATATAGTATGAGATCTATTGCTGAGAATGTACCTGTTGCTGGATGAAGCTATCTATGGGATCTATTGTTGCACAAGTATAAATTGTTTGCATCAATTAATTTTTCAAAGATATTTCCTAATTGGCTTGTTTTTTGGTTGCCTCCAAGGGTGGCTATGGCTATTCAAGTCTCCCATCAAGATGAAGAGTATTGGGAGCTGTTGTATTAAGTTGTTTAGTTCTATTTCTGATATTTTACTTTAGAACTATATATATATATATATATATATATATATATATATATATATATATATATTTATTAGGAATTCCTTATTATGTTGCTCCCCTTCACTTTCTGAACTTGAACCCACACAGAGACTGCAGAGCTGCAGTTGGTGTATTTTGAAGCCCCAAAAGCTGACAGGGTAGAGAAAAAAAAGATGATGAGGAGGAGGAAGAAGAAAAAGAAGATGAAGAAGACAAAGGGGAGAAACAAAAGATGAGAGATGGAAAGAAAGAAAATAATAAAGACAATTCACACACCTGGTATTCTTACTCTTAACCTCATTTGGGCTCTCTGTATTTTAATAGCATCTGACTCTTTAAGTTGCCTGATGACATCCAATGCCTGAGAGAAAAAAATAAATTAAAATTATTGACAATACAAAATATACATAAAACATTGTTACAGAAGGAAAGGTTTGAAACATTACTTAACAATAACAAGTATGAATATCAAACTATCAACCAAAATAATCATCAGATTACTGTACATTGAGTGTTCTCTTTTGAGCTTATATCTTTCTTGAACCATTGCTTTTGTTGCTAAAAAAAAAAACTTTCAAAAGATACCAAATTGATGGGACTCCCCAGATATCAACCTGATAGAAGAATTGTATGCCATCATAAAAAAAGATGTGAATGGAAAATATTATCCAAGTAAAAAAAAAAAAAAAAAAAAAAAAGACCTGAGAAGAAAAAACTGCAAATAATGTTAAAGTGTAAAAGAGACAGAAAGAGACAGAAAAAAGTTTGCTTTTTTTTCTTTTTTGAATAGATATTTTTGATCAGGAGTGCTTAATTTATAGTAATATGAGGAAAAACAAAGGAAAAAGTAATTATTTTTGGTTGTAATGTCTATTGTACAGCTCCACCATAAAATGGAATTAAAGATACCAAGAAATGGTGGACAAAAATATAAATTTTCTTCCATCTTCTAAATAAATAAATGGCAAATTCTGTCTGTTCACCTGTGTGTCTGAAACTTCTCTAACTCAGGTCACACGTTCTCTACGTAGACATATTTTTGGAATCAGGTTGATCCTAGGATTGAAAATCTGCCCTTCATCTGATGCTTGAACATCCAGCATTGAGATTTGTGTCCAGATGAGGAGGAAACAGTTAAAAATTAAAATAACTGAAAAAAATTAGTGACTGTTAAAAATTTTAATTTATACTGAGTTACTCTAAGTAACACTACTATTATACTGAGTTACTCTAAGTAACACAAAAACTTTGTGAATTTAAAAATGTTTTAAAATTCAGTTTTAAATATCTCCAAAACTTTGTGAACTAAGGAAATCAATTTTATTTCTCCAAAATGCCAAGGAATCAGAGTTAAAGTGAAAGATTTTGTAATATGAGATTTTGAAGTTCCAAACAATTTGTGATTTGACAAACTCAATTTTTGTCCTGATAATATATACAATATACTTGCTTAAAAGTGTGCAGCTTTTAAGTTAGTCATAAATAAAGGACTGAAAAGCAAAGACTATAATAATGGAAGTAAATTCAAAAGTATTTCTTTTCCTTGACTCTTGATATAAAAAAGTCAGCAACATTTTGCTCTTTATAGTTTTATTCCATTTTACTCAATTGTGTATATTTACTCACAAGTAACAAGAATCGTTTCCATTAAAAAAAAACTGAGGATGACATGATCATCATAATAGTGCATTGTAACCAGAAGAATTAAAATACCTTAAAAATGTAATAACATAAAAGAACACAAATAAAATCTGGGTGATTGCAACTGAATAATAATATCATGACTGCTGTTGGATTGAAAAGGGAAAAAATTCAAGGGAGATAAATCTAATTAAAAATCTGGGCAAACCTTGCAACCTCTTTGCACATGATAATGGTAATAATCATATTAGCTGTTTCCATATAAGGAAACATTTAGCATTCATTGACCGAGCAGCTAGTGCTGCTTTCAGTCGAACTTTATAAATTCTTTCTCTTCAAATAATTTTTCAGGGGAATAGGTTTCTCAAGTCTAGTAACTGTTAATTAATTACACTTTATTTGGTGATTAATGTGTCGTTTCATGTACAGTTTCATAACAAGATTTCTCATTATTACCTGATCTTAATAAGTCAGATCTCCAAGTTTACAGTGGTTTCTAAAATTATCTTAATGGAAAGACAACCAGTTCCCGATTTGCATAATGCATTGTTTCACACACTATGCAAGTGGGAATCAAATTATATGCAAAATTAAAACCATGCTTTTCACAAGCAAAATAGTGGATCAAACAGTCCACAAATAAATACAGTAATGCATATCAGCACAGAATTCATATTCTGGGTTAGTCAAAAGTGAAAGGCATAAATCCATCTTTTCTCTCTTCAGTGTAGAGTTAAATAGCAGGATAGACTGGATGCTCTGAACAACAAACCATGGAGAAGGCAATAGAAAACTAGTCCATTATCTTTCCCAAGAAGTCAGCAATTCACAGATCATAAAGAAAAGGAATTTATGAAGAGTTATGAATGTTCTAAAGAGATGACAAAAAAAAAAAAAAAAATCTTCACGCATAAGATTTGTCAAACCTTGACCTTCATGCCCATAAAAAAACAGTATTTTCCTCTTGACACTGCTATTATTTTAACTACCTTCACTCCTTAGCAATGTTTATTGTTTTAAAGTGATGATTAGAATTTTAATAAAACCGAAACATATAAAAATAAATTCAAAATAATAGTTAAAATAATAGTGGCTTAAAAAGAATAACTGTCTTTTTGACACTGTTTTTTTTGTGGGTATGAATGTCCATGTTTACCAAAGATTTTTTGTTTTAAAACATTCATGGACAATTCTATGAAATACTTTATTACCTGTTGTTTGGTGTTTTTATTTGGTTTTACAGAGATGTGCAGATCTTTCATTGCTTTCTCAATGAGAGTGACTGGATGTGGGCGGTTATTTTCAGGATTTACACACTTGTCTGCAACAATGGTAGCAATATCTCTGTACATTGATTCCAGTTGCGTATGTCTTTCTTTTTCTGAAACTTGCTGTTCTCCTTTGGCTAAAATCTTTAAAAAGAAAGAAAGAAAATTGAATATTATTCAAATTTATTAGATGAAGCATTCTCAATTATTAACCTTTCACATTTCTTTCTTTTGTCTTATTTACGCTGTTTGAACTGTTGCCTTCATTTCTGTTGCCATATTCATGACGTTTTGGCTGTTATAAGCTTTCTTCAGGTGATTAGAATTTCGAACTGAACCCTTTATTTTGTCCACCAGGGTATGTTGTTCTAGTTCCATGTGCCATGCCTCTTCCAAATGTGTCAACACATGGCCCAATGGATAAAAGTGTTGGTTGAATCCAGTGACTTGACCCAAAGAGTTGCGAGTTCAATACAGCTGAGGTGAACAAAAAAACTTGGAAAGTTAAAGGGAGATCATCAATACTGAGACATCTGGAAGAGGCATGGCACATGGAACTAGAACAATCTGCCCCAGTGATGAAATAAAAGGTTCAGTTTGAAATTCCAATCACTTAAAGAAGGCCAGAGCATACAACAGCCAAAACATTGTGAATATGTCAACAAAGATGAAAACAACAGTCTGAATAATGTAAATAATTACAATACCTCATCTCAGAAATATAGACAGATATTCTTTTGTCTTATTTTTGTCCATTTTTATTGTAAATCCCAAATTTTCATTCCACAACAGTATGAAGAAGAAATAAAGCATGGATAGGCAGGCTATCAAAAAGATGGAATATAAAAATTTTTGGGAGGTTTATTTCGAACCCATGCTATTTATTGTATGATATTTCTCATTAGTCGGACCTTGATAAATTCTTACACTGGTCAATACTGAATTGTTGTCAGCAATTGCAGCATTGGTTTGAACTGCGGTGAAGAAGAAAAAAACAAACAATGTTCTTTGCAGACAAAAGAGGAAATTCTTCGGGTCAATTTTCTGTGTGGTTTATATTGTTCCTTGTACAGAAATATTAACTCTTACCATTTTGAATTCTATTGTGACATTTTGCTCATTTTAGCTAAGTTTGAAACAAGGCTGAAATCAGGAGTTTTTTTTGGCAGCAAGTCACGTGGGCTTTGGCAGCATGGTCATCTCTCGTTGTTTGCTTCTCCAACTGGTGCAGGTCGCTTCAGTCCTCTGCTTATATTGACTTTTACTCAAGACTGGCATGGGGCTGATGGTATTTGGAGATTCTGGGCTTTCCAACAAGAGTTCTTTGTTGTCTAGTTTTGGAAAATTAATTATCCTTCCAAATTGGGAGACCCCTTTTCCATGGGCAGTGATAATGGGTACTGAGCCACCCTGATAACCCCTTTCTCATATTTGTGCCTTGTACCATTACCTGCTAACAGGCAGAGAAAATCCCTCCGTCTCTCTTGGCATTTCACCTAAACCTCTCTCCTCAGCTGTCATCTTGACAAATTACATTTTCAAATTTTGTGGGCAAACAGGTTAGACTTAGCTTTTGGTCATTAATCATATTTATTATCTTAATTGTTGTCAACACATTTTTTCCACTTTGGAGATCTTGTCTTTATAATCAGAAATTAACCAGCTGCTTCCCTTTTACTGTAATCCTCATATCTTAATTTCTCTTAAGCGAAGTATAAAATCCTTTCTCTGGGATTGTTTTTACAGTCTTCTGATTTTTGACAGCAACCATCAACCAGTCTCCATCATTTGCCTTTGCTTTAAAATTACCAAATTTTATCTCCTCAATCAACCTTCTTTTCTGGCTTATCCTTAGGAAATGTTTTTATAACTTCCACTTTAAGGCAGCACCATCAAGAGTCAGCCCAGCTTTTCCCAGATGGGCTCTTTGGTAATATCTTTCTCCAGAACAACAAATTTACTTTCTTCAAGCCATCTCTGCTTAAAAAAATAAACTTTCAAAAATAAAAGCAATTTCATTTCTTCACTTAGTTTATCTATAGTACTATTCTTTAACCTTTTTCATCTTGTTCCAAGTTATATTTTAACTTAACCCTTGTACCATTCTGTTCCAAGCTCATATTCCAACTTAACCTTTTTTTTCATTTACTATTGTCCCGACTTACAACTGATTGTGAAATGATGACCTCGGAGTTTGACAAATAGCATGAAAGAAATTGTTTGTTTCAATCCTTATTAGGAATGATTGCAAAATACTATTCCCTCACCAATTTCTAGGCAGAAGCACACAAATGCATGCTGGGAGGTCTTCCTAGCCAATAAAACAGGCCGGTTCTCGGTTTCATATGACTCAGTAATGGTCCGTCTTGTCTTGAAGTCAGAATGCTATATTCGCTTATCTGAACTTGCTCTTGTGTGTCAACCCCAATTCTTCATTTGTGAATGTTTTACCTTATTACTGTTAATTTGCCTTGCATATATTGTTTGCTTGATTTGTATTATTTTTTGCCCCATTCTTTTCTTTTCCTTGTTATTGCTTATTGCAAACTTTATCAACTCTGTTTGTTGGACAGTTCTGTCATTTATTTTACATTTAACCATGGCCACTCACACTACAGAAATATAATTAAAAAATAAATATATTAAATTTTTGTTTGGAAATTGAGCCTCATCAACAAGTTTACTTAATTCTATAAAAAGTTAAATTTGATACATCTCTGATTAACAATCATAATTGTTGCTATTACAGGGTGCTTTAGGTTATTTTAAACATAATTCAAAAAGATACTAAAGCCCAATTTATTTTGCCAAATGATGAAAACTGACAAATAATTTTTCTGCTAATTTGCATGAGAAATAATATTGAATGTTGATAAAGATGACAAAATCTGCAGAAAAAATCCATTTTAATATAAATACTATGAGAAGAATATTAAACTGAAAATATTTTATAAATCACTAATTTATATATAATCACTAATTCTTGAAGCAAGAACTAGAGGGGGCGGTTATTGGGAATAGGTGGTGGGAGAAGCTTAAGGATAGGATTAGGTTCTTTACCACAAAATTTAGCCAGTAGCTCCCACTAGATAAGGCTAACAAGGTGAAGGCTCTTAAGGATAGTCTTTCCCAGGCAGGGGCTGAGGGGAATCCCCTAGAGATAGGCCTAGATAGGGAGGCCCTGCAACATTTGGCTAGCAAGAGCTACCAGGGTTAGGTAATTAGACATAAGTTAAGCATGATGTCTTCCAAAGCTGTGAACATGGTTGCAGAATTGCGCAAGAAAGATCTGTCGAGGTTCTGGTTGCTACATTCGAGCGGTCAAGACCCAAGAGGGGCATACTCTGAGGTCGACTGACAATATGTATGAGGTCTTTTGGCGGCATTTTGAGAGCCAGTTTAACAAGGAGCACATTATTGTTCTGAACCTGACTGTTGTGTTCAGCAACTGGTTCCACCAGGGGCCCATCCCCAACTGGATTTCCAGGAGTCTGATCATGCTATTCAGAAAGGGCAAGGGTGTTGGGCAGGATTTAGATGATTACAGGCCCATAACTCTGCTAAACACACAGTTAAAGATTTTGGCTAAGATCCTGACAGAACATTTGCAGTCAGTTGCTGAGATTCTGTTGGGACCCAAGCAGGTTTGGGCTGTGAAGGGCCAAACAATTCAGAGCAACCTGCATTTGATCTGCACAATCCCAGAGGGTGTAAAAGACAACAAGCAAGCTGCACTGATAAATTTGAATCAGTCCAAGGCATTTGATAGGGTCGACTATTGCTACCTGGCTGCTGTCCTGCTGGATTCGAACCCAACCCGCTGGTAGATTAGCCTCCTGTATCACTCTCCCAGAGTGCTGAGGCACAGGTGAACAGAAGCCGGTTGCACGCTTTTGCACTGTCTCAGTCAGTTCATCAAGGTTGTCCACTGTTGCTCCTACTTTATGCTTTGGCTTTGGAGACAGGGCATGCAGTCCGGTTCTACAGGAATCACTTTCCCGAGTGGGGCTCAAGTCAGTGTTTACGCATACGCCAATGACATATGTACTTTTGTGTCATCCTGCAGCGACATTGAAGCATTGCTGTAGGCTCTTGAACGGTATGAAAAGGTCATTGGGACCAAGATTAACCGTGACAAGTCTTCTGTTTTCAGGTTAGGTGCCTAGAAGTGGGTCAAGATTCTGGGGTCCTTTGGTTGGATGAACAGTCCAGTCCGCATTTTCAGAGTATGGTTTGGACCAGATCTCCAGCTGAAGAAAAATTGGTCAGAAAGAGGGACAAAGGTGAGCACGGCAGTTGAGACTTGGTGCCGAAGGAGGTTTTTCTTGAAGGGTAGGGTCGAGGCATGTGTCACTTACGTTTTTCCTCTTATTCTTTACTGCTTGTATGTACTTCCTCTCTGTAAAGGACATAAGAAAGCGATTGAGCACTTGCTCTCCTCTCTCTTGTGGGGGGGGGGGGATGCAAGCATCACATCATCAGAAGTCTGTGCCCAACATCTATGCCATGGGCGGAGGTGGGCGTTTAACTTATCAGACTGCTAAATGCAATCAGTGAACCAAGTTACAATTTAGACTGATACTGCATGTGTTCACTTAGCACTAATTTCCTTAGGAAAGGCATGAATCCACTTCTCCTTGTTCTCTATCATTTCACAAATATGTTCACTTATGTTCCTCAGGTGTACAATTCATTCATTAGGAAGTGGGAGAAGTCAATAGTCTTAGATATATGGATGTCAGACATTCTTGTCGGATGTATCATTTGATTTTAATAACCTGAAAAATTGACACATAGACAAATACCTTACTAAACAAAGAATAGAATGAAAGAAATGGTTTACTCTCTTGGATGTATCTGTAAAAAGTTTGTATAATTCAGGTCAGTCTAGAGTTCTACAAGATGTGGGTACCTAAGCTCATTAAAGAAAAAACACAAGAATCCTTGTGAGTGAAGATATATAGGAATTATATACCTGTGGAAAGCCAAAGTAATATCAGCAAAAATACATTGATAAATGAAGATGAAAATTTTCAAATAAATGGAAATACTTACTCAATTTTTAAGCTTTTGATTAATTTTACTTTTCTGATATTATTGGCTTAGGGAGCATGAACAATGTTAGTTTAAATAAAAAAAAAAATCTTAAGGAAAAATAATATATATATATATATATATATATATATATATATAGTACAGGTAATTGATCTGTTGGTATATAATCCAGGTGGATCCTAGTAATATTAATTATTAAAACTGATCTACAAAGAGCTTGATGTATTTATCATAACAGAGCTTATGTACTTTTTTTACAGCAAAAAACAAAAAATTACCTCAACATGGGGATAGTCTATTTCAAGCTGGTCTGTATGCTGGTCTGTATCAGCCCCTAAGGGTAGGTCTCGAAGCATTGTTTTAAATTTATTTTGAATGTCAGTACTCCTCTGGTAGATGCCTTGTTAATGGGAAGAGACTTGTGTTAGCAACTGGTGGATGGCATAAGGTATCTTATTCCGGGGAAGCTGTCTGGGGTTGGAGTTTATTTATGGCTAAAGCCTTTCATTGTTTGTAGCTAAATATTGGTTCTTACTATGTGGTGTTTGTTATATAAGCCCCAAGTGTGTGTTTTCCTGTGATGTCCATTTTTGCTGTTGAAAGTCCTCAAGTGACATGGACACCATGAATACAATCTATCCCTATATATTAAATAAAGGGCTCAGTTTGAAATTTCCTGAAGGTTACCCAAATCAATAAATACCTGAAGAAGGGATAATAACACCAAAGATGAGAATATTAGTTTGAATTAAAATAAAGCACCTCAGATTTTTCACCAATTAACTAAAATAATAAATCTTACCGGTATCTTTTAAATAGAAAGAAGTTCTTTTAATTCATTGATGACTATAAAACATTTATAACAAAGGAAAAATAACTTCAGTGAGTATATCAAACATGACAAACAGCAGTAGCAGCACTCACCAGCAGGCAGGTAGGCATATTAGGGTTAAGCCTCCAAGTCTTGAGAATTGTTCTATAATAGCCTAGTGGAATAAAGCATTGGATTGTGAATTTGGTGTCATAGTAATTTTGAGTTCAATCACTTGGCTGAGCAGTGTGTATTGAACTCAGTGGAAATAGTGTGAGCAATAACTGAGCAGTACTAAAAATAAGAACTAGAATGGATATCCCTAGACATGGGCAGTAGAACAAGAACAGTCTAACCCCATAAATTAAATAATGTGTTCGGTTAAAAATTCCCTTTAGGTTACCCAGATCAATATACACCTATATGGCCAAAACATTTAGAAGACAATAGTCCAAATGTAAATAGTATAAATTTAGGCAGAAAAGAAAAAATAAGTAAACAAACAGATGTAAAACAAAAAATAATGTTTACTTGTAAACATATTTGATTTTGGTCTTCTGTACCAAAAGCTCTCTTCAAATCCTCAGCTTTGGCAACCTGTCCTTTGGAGACGTTCATAAACACTGTGTGGGTCTGGAGGACTTCATCAATATCTTTTTCTCTGAAAGAAAACAAAAATGAAAATATAATAGCAGACAAAGTTTAGCATTTAAATCTAGTAGACCAGTGGTCCCCAACCACTGGCTGTAGACTGGTACTGGGCCACACAAAAGGAATAAAAACTTTTTTCCCCCATTTTATTGATTATCGCAGTCTTGTTTATTGTGTTTTGTTAAGCACGTGACTGAAACGGAACCTCCCACCACCACCACGACGGAAAAAATCGGTTTGCAAGACACCAGTCCGTGGTGCAAAAAAGTTGGGGACTACTGTAGCAAGCAATAAAGCTTATAGAAAAACCAAACAAATTTCTTTCTGAGGCCAATTCTTAAATGAAACCAACTGGAACAAGATAATGTTTATAGAGAATCCAAGGAGGGACAAATTCACTAGTAACAGCTTATGAGATTAACATACTAAACATTGCTTTTTAGTACTTTTCATTTGTATTTTATCAGTGTATTATTATTTGGTTGGTTAGTGGATGTTATAACCTATCAACCCTTGTTGGGTTATTTCATGTTGAAATCTGTTTGTTATTAGACTTGAGTCCATTAGTAAACATTGGTCTACCACACAAAAATCCACAAGCATCCACCCAGTCTTCTCTGTGTAGGACTCAGTATATCTTACGCTCTGCCATCAAGGCATGTATCATTATTTGGACATTGAATATTTTCTCAATTATTTAATGTTCATAAAAGATTTAATGCTATCATTATAGTACACTGAATTATTTTTTGGGGAGGGGGAATTGATTTCCCTGGTTGAAAGTTCAAGAGAAGGTCGAGATTGTCAATGGTTTCAAGACTTCAAATCATTTGCTTTACTGGATGGAATTGTGACAACTAAGAGTTGTATTTATTTTGCATTAAGAACCTAGGGAAAAGCATGAAACCATCTCTTCTCCCCACAGTTATGGATAAAGTTGTAAGGAAATTTTCAAAAGTGAAGGTCATTCAAAAAACAAACAAACAGTAATTGTCTGCTTAGGGAGATTCATAGATATTGAAATAAAAGTATGGATGCCTCCTTTTTGTGCACTTAGTTTCATATTTTACTAGGTAATTCTTTCAAAATAATTATATTTTTTTTATTATACATACTCATATCTTTGTCACATTTATTTCAAAATATATAATTAGTGAACCAGCATGCATCTATTTATTTACCATCAAGTCATGCGATACTGTTTTCTAGTCATACAGATTATGTTTTACAATGACACATTCACAGAGCCTCTTCACTGATCAAGCACTTGGCAAATATATGAGGAATATATCTATAAAAAAACATTTGAATGTAATGTAGTCAATTGTATAAATATATGTTGCATTATGCATATTTAAATTTATTTAATAAATGTTGTTATATATTATGAATGTTTATTATTTTTCATACACATAATACTTGGAATATAACATGCAAGTGTTTGTTTATATATACAGATTGATATAAGAATGTGTATCAAAAACAAATACTTAATTTCCTATTAAAAATGCCATAATAACAGCTAAAGAATTCTCTGTCCAATTTTAATAAAATTTGGCACTGCATTAAGCAGGGATTTAAGGAAGAATATACTCTTAAATTGGTTGGGGTATTTAAGCTATATCTCAGGAACAAACATACATACTAGATTAGTGTTTTAGTATTACATAGATGAGTATATTAGTTGACATTAGAATAATACAATGTTTGCTACACATCTATTTGTTAAATATTAATTAAAAGATATAAGGTATTAAAACCTAACAGCTTAAAAAGAAAAAAGTTCCCACCAACTACAGAATGTCTCTGAGGTTCGTGGTACTCACTGCTACTTTTGGCAAACCTGCCTATATTAAATTCAAACTTTCTGTCTGGGACATAGTTATCAGCAAAATAACACAATGATATCCTTATTAAACGAGGACACCAATCACTAAATGGTGACACTGTCATAGCAACAATGTAATTTAATATTATATTAGCTTATATAAAACATCTACATTTGGGGGATACAAATGTATTATATACCTCTAAAAATGAAAATTTTAAAAAGTTTTAATGAAATAAAATTATATTTTTTAATGGTTGAACATATTTCTTGAGAATTTTGTTTAATATAAATTCAATCTTAAATAAGTTTCTTTACATCCATATTTCAAGATATTTCATTTTTTTTTTTTTTTAACGGATGTTCACCCAATAAGGCCCAAGAGCCACTCAAGGTAGAGGGCTACTGTGTGGCATTACACATTAGGAGTATAGAGCTGAGTTAGACACTTATTTCCTGCTGATGCTAGGGATCAGGTTTCAAAACCTGGTAAAACCTCAGATTGCAAATGATAAGAGCAGATAAGCTGGTTTCACTTGAGAATTTAGCCCAATGCAATTTTCTTATTCCCTTTTTTCTCCTTCATTTAACCCCTTATAGCATACATTAAGCTCATTTGACTCATTTACATTTGGACTAATTCTCTCATTTTCATTTTTTTTATCCCAACGTTTTGGCCATTGTACTCTACAGCCTTCTTTCTTTTGATCTAGGTAACCTTCAGCAAATTTTCAACTGACCTCCATGAGGTAGACTGTTCCCATTCTGCTGCCAGAACATTGTGATAACAACAATAAAGATGAGAACATTAGGCCAAGTGTAAATAGTGATACTGCCTAACCCCAGACATTCAGACAGAAATTAATCTTATTAAATGCAAAATGACCTAGTAGATTTCTTTATATCATGGAGACAGTTACACAGGCACCCACACGCAGAAAAATGTCATTTACATAATAGATCCACCTCTGGAGATCTACAGCATCGCTGTTGCTGGTCTCCTGAGAAAGATAAGCAGACGTTCACACTGGCTATTATATCTACATATTCACTACTGTTACTATTCAGAGAAATTGGAAAAAAAACATTGTCAATTCATTCATTTTTATTTTTTTTATAGCAATGTTTTTTTTTTGTTTTGTTTTTTATTTCACAGCATAGTTAAACTTCTGTGGCAGACTTAAATTATGATGATCAAAAAAATTAGCATACTTTTTAGGATTTATTTCTTAACGCAAAAAATTCACTATAATTTATAAAAAAAGATAGTTTAAATTCTTATAAAAATTGATATCTATTTTTCTGTTTAATATAATTTAACATTTAATGATTTGAGCTTGACGTTTTTTTTTTTTTTTTTTTAAATATCTTCCTTGCAAGGAAAAAGTTTGGACAGGCAGACTCTTATTTTTATTTTTACTAATGTTCACCCAACACAAGGCCCAAGAGCAACTCAAGATAGAGGGTTACTGTGTGGAATTGTATTAGTGTAGGAAAGAACAAGCATTAGGTGTAGAGGGCTGAAGCAGACTTTAGAAAGAACCAGAAACCAGATCCTAAATGGGAAACAAGGGATAAAGCTCTACTCTTGTTCAAAAAACGGGATGAGTGTGAACTGGATGATAGGTAAACCTATCTATTCCTATAAATCTTCTTCCAAGGATTCTAGCCATGATTGATTTTTGTTTTTAATATTGTTTATTGCAGAAAAACCTTGATTGTTATATTATTTTATATATTATGCATATTTATTATATCAATGATATACTTGTATAATTAAAGGGGTTTTAATTTTGATATGTACACTTATTGTGCATTGGACTTCCTTCAAAAATAATTTAATTAATAATCTTTAAAAATTTTTGTAGTATACCAATGATACTCTCATGGTACACCAGTTGAAAAATCACTGCTGTATAGTGTAACATTAAAATTACTACATGATTCATGTTGAGAATTACTAAATGACTCATGTTGAAAGTGACAGCTTCAGAAAATTGTTATACAACTGATGGGAAACAGCCATTCCTAATTTTTGGTATTAAAGATAAAACAACATAGAAAGCTTAATTACATCATATCCATGACATGCAAGATAAACTGGAACTGTTCAGAAGAAAAACAGCTTCTGTGATCATATCAGGTTATGTGCCATGTTCCTTCAGGATGTTGATGATCATGGCTCACCACAATTTCCTATTTTTTGTAGCTCTTAGTAAATTGTATCTTTTCACTATCTCATCTAATCCCTGTTCTGCTAACCATTTATACAAACTCATTAGGTAGGATATATACAGTTTTCCTGTCTCTGTTGCCTTCACTATGTCCTGTGAGAGTCAAATTTTCTAAGCCCCCTTTCCTCATTATGTGCCCTAGAAATTTCAACTCTTTCTGATGTTAATTATAAGTGTCCATTTTGTTCCTATTTTCTCTAAAACTGTCATTGCTCACATGCTCAATCCATGGTATTGTCAGCATCCTTTTATAGAACCATATTTTTGTTGCTTTCAAGTCTCTTATAAACAATAGCTATTCTACTGACACTTTTGATAAATGTTATGAAGTAATTGTTACTATTTGTACTTGAGATTAGATTAATCCAAATATGAAAAACAAAAAAAAATAGATGATATCTATACTTGAGTCTCAAAGAGTTAATCCAAATATGAATAGATAAAAAAGAATGACAACCTGCTTGTGATCCATGTTCAAAAAACAGATAGTAAAGGACAAAAGAGAAATTGAAGCATTCAAATAATGTTGAATATAAAAATTATAATACTTCATCATACATGAATCCCTTCTTACCTGATATCTAAACAATACTAAAACTCTAATCTTATATAGTGATTTTCCAAGCGTAGCTTAGATGTGGCACAAGGCTGAAAGTAGGGGACACCCAGTGAGGATTGAACTCACTACTCAGTTGTAACTGGTCTGACGAGACAAGCTTGCTAACCATTACACTGTCTCGAGGTGCCCTCTAATCTTATATATATTTGTTTCTGAGATACAGCTTAAATGTTACATAATACCCCAACCAATTTAGGAGCATATTATACCTTGAACTTCTGCTGAGTGCAGTGCCAAAGTTTATTAAAATTAGACAAAGGGTTTTTTGAGCTAGGGCGTTTTTCAGTTTTTAATAGGAAATTCAGTATTTGTTTTCGATATACATTCTT